CTGTGAGTCATTTACTTACCTTTGTTTTGGATGACAACCAAACAGTGAAATTACACATACGTATAGAAGCTGTGTATTAAGCAATCATTAGGCAATAACTGTGACTTTTCCCACGACATATATACACTTCTCAAATAAAATAGTTTAAAGTGGACCCAAACTTGTCAACCCTCCCGATTTTCACGGGAGACTCCCGATTTCATTGCCCTCTCCCGGTTTCCTCCCGGGTTCATATTTCTCCCGCATTTCTCCGACGAAATCAGATTTACACACGACTGTTTCCACTCGGACTTTAATACAGCGACACCATTGTTTGGTTTCCATGGTAACACGTCTCTTTAGTAGCGCGCGCAACTCAAAGTCTGAGAGGGTGAGGCAGATAGTCACAGAAAACAGAACAAGAATCGAAAACTACTCTACTCTCTGCTCAGTCCTTTCCTGTAAAATACGGGTCCAGCCCACACATATGCTCCATCAAGGAAGGTGCCACAGGCCGCAACCCCCCCCCCATTTCGCATTTTGCAACGCTCCCGATTTCTGAGGTCTAAAGGTTGGCAAGTATGGTTCTGGCACATTTGTGTATTTGCATTTGCATTGCTTTTGAAACTGCAGCAGGTTGTAACGTGTTTGCACCTGTCGGCCACCGTAAAAAGCTCTCAGATAAACATAGTGGATTCAAAGTATAAAATGGAAAGTATGCATACAGAAAACTTGTACAGAGTAGCCTACTTCCATCACTGAGCACACTTTTCTATATATCTCACCAGCAGGTTGCTGTCTGGCATTGAATCGATGCTAACGAAGTCACAGACGATGAAGCCCAGCAGGTATGTGGACATCTTCGCTGTGGGTTCGAACGTCGTCACTTTAACGGGAACGCCGTCGATGGTGGAGTCTGCAGAGTCTGTTCAGAGAGAGAAATCATCTAATTAGGTTATGTTTCTGATGTTTGCTCACTTTCAAACATGTCAGATATCTGCACATGTTATACTATCCTATGTGTATACAAGTAACGTCCTGTAGTGTAAGCATATATAACTGCTAAAAACTGCAGTATTTTTGACTATCTATCTATCTTGTAGCATTTGTTTTATTAAAATAAAAAAAGTTACTTGTATAAGTTACTTATTATTATTAATATTATTTTTAAATAGCACGTCAAATATCCACCATATAACCACCAAAAGTTGCCAAAAAGAGCTCATGGTTGAACTACAGCAAAGCTGCCCTGGGAGAAATGTAATGTGTTAAGCAAATAGAGAACCGCATGACGCGTCCTAAAACCCGGAAGTGAACTTCTTCCGGTTCCTTCGACAAAAATGCAATGCAATTTCTCCATAGGATTTTGGAAAATAGCTCGAAATAAGGTCTGTGGTTGAAACACATTTAAGAGACGGATCACGTTTTGTTCAGCCGGATAATCTCCACATGTCTACCCTACTTTTAGAATTTTATAATCATAAATCTAATCGATAGATTTATGATTCGAACATTATAAGAGATACAAGGAAGCTACTGCCAAGTGTAGTAGACTTGCTGTACATGTAGTTCACTTCCCAACACTGCTTTCCTATTCTGATCAGATTTTACTCTTTGTTTTTCTCCTGAGGAACTAACCGGTCTTGATGCCGTTGGACAGAGCCACGGTTTCTCCCTCGTGAACGATGGTGACGTTGAAGGAAGCTTTCATGGCCGGCTCGTCGAAGCAAGGGAAAGTTTTCCTGGCATACGTAGGCTGCATCTGTGAGGTAGCAACAACTCTGCAAAATGTTCAAAATTAAACATTAACAATTCAATTCAAGGTTTTATTGTCAAATGCACAAAGCTATAGTATAGAAATGGCAATGACATTCTTGTGACCAGAACTCCTCCAACAATGCAACATATATAATAAAATACAAAAATACAATGTACAAGAACAGAATGTGAAATTAAATAGCGTACATTAAGACAACATTAAATACGGTTTACTGCGGTGATTTAGATAAATAAATAATCAACCAAGAGGAACAATTAAAGGGGACATTTCCTAAAAAACTCACTTCGTCCGTGAACAAACATCTGGGGTCTACTACACTTTTGGTAAAACCTTGGATTCAAACATATTCTAGTGATCAGCTCAAAGTGGATGACCCCGGCTAACTCCTGGCTAGTTACAAATTGGGCGTCATTGGTAAAGCTGAGCAGTTAGTGACCTCAGATGACCTCTAATAATGCTTAACTGTAAGCGAAAGTAATTTTAACAGGTAAGTTAAAAAACCACTCCAACAAGAATGGGAAAATGAGCTTTAAATGTGTCATGTTTATTACTGTTGTTAAGTTTTAAAGAGGACATATAATGCCCATTTCCAGGTGTATATCAGTATGTGTCTCTATTTTAAAGAGTCCTCTCGAGCTGATGGTGGTGCGAAAGGATTTTAGCCTTTGCATACTATTTACATGACAATAAAAGCATCTAAACATGTTCTTATAAAAACCTAAAATAGAGGTTTAAAACCCAAAAAAGAGCATTTCATGTCCCTTTCAAATCTATGATCGTGCACCGTTTAGCTTCATCTTTACTCACTTCTTCACTCCGTCATCAGTGTATTCGCTCCTGTAGAAACCCTCCAGATCGTCTGCCAGCTCGCCCTGAAACTCAGTGTGCAGAACATACATCGCTCCAACACTTAATCTGCGACTCAGCTGAAGAACCAAATACTCCGTCTTCACAACGAGCCACGACTTCAGAATCGATGGAGAAGATGCTTCACCCACGGCGCTCAACTTGGCGAGGAACCCATCGAAGTTGGTGAGGTTCAGCTTGTTGGAGTGGATGATGATCAGGTCTGTTTCCTTCACACATTTGAACACCACAGTCGATTCTCCAGTGAAGATATAGAGTCCGTTAGCGTCGGGTTTCAACCGAGGAAACAAGGTGACGTTATAGGAAACAGGAGAAAGGGATTCTGGGAGTCTGTATTTGTCCCACGGCTCTTTTGGGGGGAAAGGTGTAGTAATGGGACCACTGGTGCTGCCTGTTGCTTTATCCTCACTGTTTCCTCCTCGCTTCTTGGCCTTTTCTTTATCTAAGGAGACGGATAAAGCTATAATTGTAAGCAGAGCAATGGCCGCCAGCACCAGAAGCCCCAGGCCCACATTTTTACTGACGTGGATGACTTTGGCCATGTTTAAGGCACCTGGCTGCTATATCTTCAGAACGGTTTTCCTCCCCCTTTCAGACTAAATCTCCCCCCTCTTCCTTCGCCTGAGACTAAATCTAAAACTTAGGTTAATATTAAGCTGTCTTTGGCTCTTTTTTCTTGCTGTAACAAATGTAAATGTCCCCTCTGAGGGACAAATAAAGGTTTTCTGAGGCTGGAGGAGATTAACTCTCAGGGTTTTCAGTCGGTGTTCGTGCAGCAGGTCTTCTCCCTCCTCAGTTAATAGTTCAGCTATTAACGTGGCAAATAAGACATTTTCAAAGCACCTGAGGAGACAAGAGAGGACACGTTATTTATCAAAGTCAAGGTCAACTTTATTGTCAATCTTTCAGTTTGTGTGTACAGACAGAGAGATCGAAATACCGTTTCCCACAATCCCAAATACAAAAACAAATATATATAAACATATGTATATCCTATATATACATAATCAACAGACACATGTATACATATGCACACGTTAAAGTCCTTATCTTACATGAAAAACTTTTTTTGGCAGTTGATTTCTGGGGGGTGTATGCAACAGATAGTCAATGTATGTTTCTTTATTTCATACTGAATAATATGTAAAAAAAGGAAAAATATTAGGTCCAATAAAAAAACTTTGCTTCTGGA